AAAAAAAAAAAAAAAAAGAACAGCCAACAGAAAGATAACTCAAAAGGTAAAAATCAGAGGGAATTAAAGTAGTACAATAAAAAATATTTACGTAATACAAAAGAAGGGAATCCAAGGAACAACAGAATCTTTATCTCAGGAATTCTATGTGATCTAAAAAATTCCTTTTCAATATTTAAACTGTACCAAAGAATGAGATTAACAACTGTGACTAGAGAATCAAATAGAAATTACTAAGGGGTTATTTTAAATGTATTATCCAGGTTGGCGAAATAGAAGAAAATCAGGATACAGATATAAAGTAACAAATAAAGAGAATAATGTTTCCAAAATTTCAAATACCAATCATCCTTTATATTCTTTCTAACACGGTAGCCTCTGAAAGAATGAGCACAGAGCTACCAGGAATTGCCTTAGTAAATCCACACAGACACTAATAAAACCAGCCTCTCCTAGTCTCAGCAAATGGAGAATTCACCACTCAGTGTGAACCACATGTGGTTTTAACTTTGCAGAGATGATTTCTGCATCATTCAGAGTAGGAAGGGTTTTGGCTAGTTATCTCACACAGATCTGTGGATCTCACTTGTAGATCTAGAAGACTGTATGATTTGTATGAAAAAAATAACATAGCTTTGAACAAAATAGTCTCATTACCTGAATTTCTTCAACCACGGATTTGAACTGGGGAATCCGCTCTGTCATGTTTTTAACCAATTCCATTGCGTTATCGAATCCCTTCACATATTCTCCATACATCTTAAGGAATGGTGCCAATTTTTGGAGGATGTCTCCAATCCTGGGGGTAGTTTCCCTATGGTGAATATAGAAATACGTGGTTAACACTGCTTAGAGACAGAGCAAATTATTAATAATGGACTCCAGGTGAAGGCTAATCATTTTCTACACACACCTTGTGCTCTAGCCAATCCACCTTGCTGTGACATGGGCTGAGAGTGAAAAAAGCATAGTTTTCAAGGGAGTTCAGGAATGGCGTAGTAAAAAGAGAAGCTATGAAATTCTTGAACGTCCTGAGAGCTTCAGTAGTCAAGAGGTAGTTTGGAGAACAAATATGAAATCTTTTTCATTGAAGCTGATGTAGGGCTGGGTGCAGTGGCTCATGTAAATCCCTGCACTCTAAGAGGCCAAAGTGGAAGGATTCCTTGAGCTCAGGAGTTCAAGACCAGCCTGAGCACAAGCGAGACTCTGTCTATACTAAAATAGAAAAATTAGCCAGGCCTTGTGGCAAGCACCTATACTCCCAGCTACTCAAGAGGCTGAGGCAGGAGGATCACTTGAACCCAGAAGTCTGAGGTTGCTGTGAGCTAGGTGAGGCCCGGGCACTGTAGCTTGGGGAACAGAGTGAGAGTCTGTCTCAAAAACAAAAACAAGCAAACAAACAAAAAACCTGAAAATGTACCGCAACATCTATCATTGATGTTTCATATAAAAATTTAGCACAAATATCTAGCTACATCTGTGTGTGGCATTTGTATTTCAAGTTTGTACTTTTTTTTTTGAGACAGTCTCAAGCTGTCGCCCTGGGTTTAGGCAATTCTCTTGCCTTAGCCTCCCAAGTAGCTGGGACTACAGGCGCCTGCCACAATGCCTGGCTATTTTCTGGTTGTAGTTGTCACTGTTGTTTGGCAGGCCCGGGCTGGATTTGAACCCGCCAGCTCTGGTCTATGTGACTGGCGCCTTAGCCCCCTGAGTTCCAGGCCCCCGGCCAGTGTATTCCAAGTTAATATCTGAAAGACACAGCCTCTGTGTGACTGTCTTCGACACATCGTTTGCTAGCGACTCCTCTTACCATTCTTGCATTCGTTTCTCCAGCTCTGGCAATAGGAATTTACTATGGAAGGCATTTATTGATGAAATATTTGAAAAGATTTTATTCACCATCTCTGCTGGAAATGAGCCGCGGTTTGCTTCTTCCAATAGTTTGCAATAAAACACCTGCATAAAAGAATAAAGCAAACATTAGCTCAGATTGATTGGCTAACCACCTAGCACTGTGCTAGGCACAGAGCAGGCTCGTAGGGACTGTTGGCTAAACAGATGGAAAATTTCATTGTTCAAGAAATCGATCAATTACTATTTAAAATGTAGGAGTGAATAAAGGTTGCAACGGAGAATAAGAATTAGTAAGCTTTGATTCTAGCCTAGGATATGCCCCTAGCTGGAGGAGGGTGAAGCAAAATAATTTCTCTTTTTTGTACCCGAAAATTTTCAGTTGAGGTCAATAGGATTTACCCTTCCTATCCACAATAAAGTTAAGAGATGGGAAAACACTTTACATACACACAATAAATGTGATGTTTTCCACTTTTTTAGGTTTTGAGTAGTATCTATGGTACTTATTACATACTATCTTTTAGGGTAGCTTATTTACATCAATCTTATTTTTCTTCTGAACATTATATGCTCCTTGGGCAAGGAGGATCATGATTTCGTTCCTGCAACAGAACAGGTGCTTACTACCTGGCCAAGGAATGAATAAAAGAGTATTCTAATTCTCAGATGTTTACTTGCTTAGTAAACAGTAATGTGTAACTCAAAACACTGACATAAGAGGGGAAAAAACCCTTCTGTATATACCTTGAAGACAATTTTTAAAACCCCCCCCAAAACAAAAACGACCTGCAGTCCTAGCCATGCTCCGCTATGCTACTATACCTCTTAAGTGCCATTCTGTTAAGTGTAGGCAGAAGGAGGTCTGTTCCTTCACAATGTCCAGATGGCTAAAATTCACCTCCATTGCATTTTCTTGCAAGGCAAAAAGAACACAAAATTATGTCCTTAGAGACCCCCATAGAGAGGATACTGTAGTAATTAAGACTCTAAAATTCTGAAAGGTCAGCAACAGGAGCTGACAAGTTATTTGGCTTAAAAAACCCCACACAACTTGATAAAGAGGAAAAGACGCATCTCCACTATGGGTCTACCTAAAAGGTTCAAGTCTGTAATTCCCATGAGAAAGAAAAATTGTTTCCAACTTGCAAACTCTGCATGAGCTGATTTTGACTTACAGTGAAATTCCTTGAAAAGTGAATATTTGAGCCACAAAGTCATTATTTTGAACAACACAGCCTTAAACTGGTTCCTCAGGGCTCACCCTGACAGGACTATGGCTCACTCTCGGAACCCATGATAAGCAGGTGTGCCCAGAACCTACTGATTCCGTGCCAGCCTTTCAGTGGCCAAAGTGAGATATTTCTTACAATTAATGCCCAACCATGGCAGCTTTCTCTTCAAACAAGGCATCTATATTAATCTGTATTAATCTACAATCGTCTTGTTCCTTATTGCTAAAACACGATTAAGATGACTTTGTTTTCAACAAAGTTCCTGTTCTGTTGCAGGAAGTATTCTTATGATCCCTTGTTAAATATTCCAAATATATATATCCAAAATGCTACTCGAGTCTCCATCAGGATGTGATAAAGCATACTGACATATTAAACAAATACTGATGGGTGTTCAGTAAAACACTGCTGGCGACATTATGCCAGGCACTGTGTCACATGCACCATACAAGGTTAAACACGTGAACTCTCACAATCCCTCTGGCCCTGTGACTATACCAGCTGAGCTCACTCACATGGTACTCAACAGCAAATGACACAAGTAGCATGTTGGCATTACAAACACCAATATCATATTTAGATTAAAATGGTAATGTGTCCCCTAGGATCACAATAGAAGGTCAAGAAACAGGCTAGTCCTTACAGTTGAAGGGCACAAATAAAGGCGTTTTATGACTCATATGGAGAGAAACTGCTATTCTTTGTGAATTACAAAATGCTTATATTGGGGGAGTTTACTGAGAAAGCCAAAAGTGCCAAAGATTGCCTTGAGCAAGTAGCTTCCACTAGCCAGAAATGGGTCCCTCTTACGGTTTCCAAAACACTTTAATCACCAGGTTAAAACAATGTACAATGTCAAAACATAAAATCATTCTGGAAAAAAGAAAATATTACCTGATCTAAGAGGTCAAGTCGGTTGACATAAGCCCTTTCTGTATGGAGAAGTTCATTGGCTATTTTGTGAAGTTTTTGCTCATTAGTCTCCTAAAAAATGGAAGAGATACACACAGATTAGGAAGGAAACCTCGGCTAATACTTCTCAAGCAGTGAACACGTCTTCACACAGTCTGATCAAAAGAGATTTCTCAGGTTTCTCAAGTAGCCAACTTCTTTTACCCTTCAAGGAACATCTAATCAGAAATTTACAAAATTAGAAACAAGCAATCTGCTATAAATAAATTTAAACTACAGCTTCTTCTCTGGCGTCTGCAGTAGTCAACACTATCATCTACGTTTTCTGTGAAATATCTTTGATCCTTTTCAGTCCCTAGCACTATACTTTCCTCATTCCCCCCTACCTTTCTCAGACTAGTCTTTGGAAATGATTTCATCACCCTGTCTGACATCAATAGTTTCTTCCATTATCAGCTCTGGGGATGTAAATTTATGTCTCATTAAAAATATTTTACTATGAAAGCCGGGCCCAGTGGCTTACGCATGTAATCCTAGCACTCTAGGAGGCCAAGGCTGAAGGAACTCGTGAACTCCAGACCAGCCTAAGCAAGAAGAGTAAGACCCCATCTCTACTAAAAATAGAAAAATTAGGCAGGTGTTATGGTGGGCGCCTATTGTCCCGGCTACTCAGGAGGCTGAGGCAAGAGGATCACTTGAGCCTCGAAGTTTGAGGTTGCTGTGAGCTATGATGCCATGGCACTCTACCCAAAATGACAAGATTTCTTTCTTTTTTTTTTTTTTTTT